ACAGATCTGAATCATCAGAGATTTTGTTAGATTTAAATGAGAATTTTTTTACCATGCTCAATTCCAGACACAGTGAATTAGAAAAGATGTCTGTTGTCAATGTAGTGTTTAAGTATAACTAACACCTTACAAATTGTACTCTGGGGTTTCTTGATGCCTTAGGCATGGGGATTAGAGTATTCAACCATAGTATTTTTATTCTAAAGTGTTTCTGCATTAAAGCCTACTTTTTCTGCAACTTGAAAGTCAGTGACTACTTAATGAAAATAATATAGTTGATTTGAATTTGTGTAGAGTAGTCATTAGAAATATAGTTGATCATGGGAGATGGAAGTGGGATTGGTGTTTGCCAGGGGTTGGGGACGGGAGAATGGGGAGTGACTGCTTAATGGGTACAGTGTTTCCTTTTGGAGTGATGAAAAGTTTTGGAACTGGATAGTGGTTATGATTGTAGGGCATTGTGTGAATGTATTCGATGCCACTGAATTGTACAGTGTAAAATGATTTAAAAAGACAAATGTCATGTGGTATTTCACCACCACAGAAAGAAAAGTACAATTCACTGGAGGCATGGGCCTTAATATACTAGTTATAGACCAGGGGTGGGGAATGTCCGGCCTGCGAGCTTTGGTCTGGCCCTGCCAAGGCATTAGGGGCAAGTTAATTAAATGTTTGACCAAATATAGCAGGCTAATTTTTAAGTTGATAATTTTATATGGCCCGCAAATGATGTTATAAATATTCAAATGGCCTTTGGCAGTAAAAAGGTTCCCCACCCCTCTTATAGACAGAGTGGCTTTTCTCTGTGGAAGCTGTCACTTTATACTAATTACTTACTGGGCAGGTGTAGCATATCTTATAGTTGGTTAAGTAAGCCTTGAAAACTCAGTTCACTTTTGTCCTCAATCTCTGTGGAACAGTTAAATATTTAAAAGATACAGATGTCATACTGCTTTACATTTGAAAATTAATGGGTAGGCAACCTATGGATTGGGAGAAAATAATTGCATATCCTAAATCTGGTAAGAGGTTAATATGCAGAATATATAAAGAACTCCTACAACTCAACACAAAAAACAAGCCACCTGACTAAAAACACGAGCAAAGAGCTTAAATTTACATTTCTCCAAAGATGTACAAATAGCCAATGAGTACATGAAAAATGATCAATATCACTAATCATTAGGTAAATGCAAATCAAAATCACAATCAGAAAATATTTCACACCCATCTGTATGGCCACTATAAAAAACAAACCAAAAAATAGCCGTGGCCAGGTAACTCAGTTGGACGGAGGGTCAGCCTGTACACCAAAAGGATGTAGATTCAATCCCTGGTCAGGTTGGGTATGGGAGGCAACTGATGTCTCTCTCCCTTTCCTTTCCTCTCTCTCAAAATAAAACATATCCTTGGGTGGGAATTTTAAAAATCCTTTTTTTAAAACCCAGAAAATAACAAATGTTGGCAATGGGAAAATTGGAACCCTTGTTCACTGTTGGTGGGAATGTAAAATTGTTCAGCTGCCATGGGAAACATAATGGTGTTTCTCCCCAAAAAATTAAATAGTAGTTTCACTTCTAGGTATGTAACCCCCCACCCCCCAAATTAAAAACAGAGCCTCAAAGAGATATTTGTACACCCATATTCATAACAGCATTGTTTGCAGTTGCCAAAAGGTGGAAGCAACCCAGGTGTCTGGCAGATTAACAGATAATCAAAATGTACATATGTATAAGTGGATTATTATTCAACCACAGAAAAGGAAATTCTGACATATGCTATACAATATGGATGAACCTTGAGGACGTTATGCTAACTGAAATAAACCAGTCACAATGATTCTAGTTCTATGAGGTACCTAGAGCAGTCCTCAGATTTCATAGAAGCAAAGTAGATGGTGGTTTCCAGGGCTTGTGGGGAGGGAATAATGGGGAGTTGTTTAATGGTGTAGTTTCAATTTTGTAAGATGAAAAATTTTCAGAACTCAAGATTGGTTGTATACAGTATGTACTTAATACTATTGGACTGACAAAATGTTCTAGGGGATACATTTTATGTTCTGTATTTTACCACAGTATTTAAAAAGTAAAAATTAATGAGTAAAATTAAAAATTGATCATTTTTTCATTTGCTATTTACAAAATTGTTCTAATGTACAGATTGATATTTAGACCTTTTTTAGATTGCTGGTTTGTTAACTTCTGGTTCTTAAGGAGTCTATGGAAGCCTATGCTTCTAATGCCTGCATTACTTCTACTTCCTATGCTGGGCTGTAGCAGTAAAGTGAAGCAAAAGAAGTGTTGTTGGAGGATAAAAAACTATCTGTGTGATGGAATTTCTGAATATTGCTTTGATATTTAAAAATTGGCTTTGAGTTTGTATGCAAAAAAGTTTGAGTTAACTGACTCTGCAAGTTTAGTGCAATGTGGCTTTCCCCCCACTTCAGTGCAGTAATCTGAATGCTCATTTCTGATAATTTGAGATACCAAAAGGATATTGTATAAACTCCAGCTCATGTTATTAGGAATGTGGACTCAAACATTTAAAATCATATCCTAGCTAATAAAAGACAAAGATGCTAGTTGACCGTACCTTTGCTACTCCCATGAGCCAATCAGAATGATATGCAAATTAACTGCCAACAAAGATGGTGGCTAATTTGCATAGGGCGGGCCAGTGCGAGCTGCCAGCCAGGACCCCCGTTTGCCACCTAAGTCCCATCGCCAGCCAGGACCCCATGTGCGGCCCTGGGCGATGGGACCCCCCCCACCATGTGCGGCCCTGGGCAATGCAATGGCCTGAGGAAACCCTATTCTTGTAGGAATCTTGCTGCAACGGGCCTCTAGTACTGTATAATAGATAAACACATTGCAGGCTTGTCTCCAAAACTTATTGAACTGATAAGACAGGATATCACACCTCAGTCAAGACAAGGGACATCTATGAAGACAGTTGTAGATACCCTTTACTTAGAAATGTTAACCACTTATCCCTATTAAATTGCTTAAATATAGCCTAAACTCACTCCTTGCACAGCTACCTGTTGAATCTCTAGAGAATATGGAAATGTTTAGTTATCTTTAATACCTTTCATAAACTAAGAGAAGTTGTTGGTCTCAATCTTAATTTTTGAGTAATTACAGTAAACAGTAATGATTCCTTGGGGGGAGTATAAAGGAAAGGCTTCCCAGAGGGGATAGAGCAGCGGTTCTCAATCTGTGGGTCAAACTACCCTTTCACAGGGGTCGCCTAAGACCATCAGAAAACACGTATATAATTACACTAGGGGCCCAGTGCACGAATTTGTGCACCTTGAAAGGAACTGTGGGCTGTGAAGCTGTGGTGGGCACAGGGGTGGGTCTTGGCCCATCCTTCACGCCCCTGCTGGCCCCTCCTGCTGTGGCCCCTGGTCCCCTCTCTGCTGGCAGCCCCACTCCTGTTGCTGTCAATCCCATGCACTGACGGTGCCGACCCTGCTTGCACCCACTCATGGCGTAGAGCAATTGGGGCCAGCATCATCAGTGGGTGCAAGCGAAGCTGGTGCCGTCAGCAGGTGTGAGTGGTGACTGCTACTCTGATCGCCCCTCAGGAGCAGGGGGAGGTGGAGAAGCCCTAAGGGGTGATCGGGCCGGCGCCGCCATTTGCACCCACTGACAGCGCTGAGCAATTGGGGCTGGCACCAGGTGCCAGCAGTGGGTGCGAGTGGTGGCTCCAGGGCAGGACTGTTGTGCATGGGAGCAAAGAATTTTTAGTAACCACCAGAGGCTCGCCCTGATGACAGTGATTGGCACCCCGCCTTGGACTGGCACTCCCACTCACCTTCTTTACCATCTGGCCATGGACGACGCCCACTATGTCCTGCGCTTGCCCCCTGGTGGTCAGTACACATCATAGTGACCCGTTGTTCATTTGTTCTGCCATTCGGTCTATTTGCTTATTAGCCTTTTATTATATAGGATATTGTTTTTGTGATTAATCACTATGCTTTAATTATGTTCAATTTGTAACAATGAAATTGGGGGTCACCACAACATGAGGAACTGTATTAAAGGGTCACAGCATTTAGAAGGTTGAGAACCACTGGGATAAAGTGTGCCTGCTCTTTTTTTAAAATTTGACTGAGGTAACCAAGTGGATTAAGTTAATCTTACACTAGCTCTATTGTGTTTAGCCATACAAGGCCATAAGGGATTGTTATGTTGGGTTATTATGGCAAAAAAATAGTGAACAATAGTTTGTACATGGTAGAACTGCTAAGATCTACCCCTTTATCCTGCTGTTACTACAAAGAACTTAGCTAACAAATATGGCTCTATTTCACTTGGGATGAATTTCAGTAGAACAGGTATCATTAAGATACAAGATTCCTTGTTTATTTTGATTTTTAAGATTTAATTATTGATACATATTTATTGCCATTTTATTGTTCATATTTTTTTATCTTTTTTTTCCCTTCTTCCTCTTAAAGAATACCATTCAACATTTCATGTAATAATGGTTTGGTGGTGAACTCCTTTCGCTTTTTTTTGTCTGTGAAGCTCTTTATCTGACTTTTCAATTCTAAACGATACCTTTGCTGGGATGTTCTTTGGTGTGGGCCTCATTGGGTTTATCTTGTTTGGGACTCTACTTCCTGATCTATTTCTTTCATCAGGTAGGGGAAGTTTTCTGTCATTATTTCTTCAAATAGGTTTTCAATTTCTTGCTGCTCCTCTTCTCTTTCCGGCACCCCCTTGATGCATATATTTTTATGCTTGAAGTTGTCCCAGAGGCTTTTTTCACTATATTCATACTTTTGGATATTTTTTTCTTTTTGTTTTTCTGATTGGGTGTGTTTTGCTTCCTCATATTCCAAGTCACTGATTTGATTCTTGGCATCCTCTACTCCAGGGGTCCTCAAACTACGGCCCGCGGGCCACATGCAAATACAAATATTGTATTTGTTCCCATTTTGTTTTTTTACTTCAAAATAAGATATGTGCAGTGTGCATAGGAATTTGTTCATAGTTTTTTTTTAAACTATAGTCCGGCTCTCCAACGGTCTGAGGGACAGTGAACTGGCTCCTGTTTTAAAAGTTTGAGGACCCCTGCTCTACTCTGTTGATTCACTATAAATTTTTCATTTCAGTTAGTATATCCATCATTTCTGACTGGTCCCTTTTCATGTCTTTGACAGTCTCACTAAGTTCCTTGAAGCTCTCATTAATTTACTTGAGCATCTTTATAATCACTGTTTTGAACTCTCTATCTAGTAGTTTGCTTCCATTTCTTTTAGTTCTTTTTCTGGAATTTTCTTCGGTTCTGTCTTGTGACATGTTTCTTTGTCTCTGCATTTTGGCTGCTTCCCTGTGTTTGTTTCTATGTATTACATAGAGCTGCAATGTCTCCTGGAATTGATAGAGTGGCCTTGTGTAGTAGATGTTCTGTAGACCCCAGTGACTCAGCCTCCCCAGTCACCTGAGCAGGGCATGCTAGGTATGCTCCTGTGTGAGCTGTGTGGTGTGCACCGTCCTGTGTAGTTGAGCCTTGATGGATGTTAGTGTCTTTGGGAGGTATTGACCCCCTGGCCAATTGGATGTGAGAACCAGCTGTGACTACAGAGGAAGTGCAGGAGACACCCCTATGGAACAGTACTTGCTTCAGTGGGGCTTTGGTGCTCACTGAGTTTGCTCCTTGAGTGTGTCGCTGGTGGATGTGGTAAAGTTGTAATCTGGAGTGATCTGAAGATGTCCACCAGGTACACAGGCTAAGGGGCCACCCTGGAGGTGCAAATGGATAACAGATAATTTTAATTGGCAGTTGTCCTTCGGCGTATGATTTTTATAAAAGTTCATGTCATACAAATGTAATAAGTATTTTGGATAATCAGCAAGCACGGAAAAATGCAACAACTCAATAAACAGGTTGTTTTATGGTCTGCAATGCAATGAGTGAAAAGTGTCAGAAAACCTCCAATCTCGGTTTCTTTTTAAGCACAACGTGGAAGTTCTTGGAATCCTTTCTGATGATGTAGAAACTGATTCTGTAGCCCCAGGTGAAAACCTCAAAATCAGACTGAAAGGAATTGAAGAAGAGGAGATTCTTCCAGGATTTATACTTTGTGATCCTAATAATCTTTGTCATTCTGGACGCACATTTGATGCCCAGGTAAACCAGTTATTATAGTTATCTCAGTGATGTTTACTGTTCAAATGACATTTGAATTTAAATGTCCTTTGTTCGGGTTATTGATGACATGTCATTGTGTGTAGAAGGGGAATTGAAATAGAATAAATTGTGTGTGTGTCACAACAGCCATAAGGTAGGTATCTTACAATATAAGGTCTTCTTACTGGTTAGATTGTATTCTTTGTAAATTCCTTTTTTTCTAATCTGTTTATATCATTACTCAGTGTCTTTCACTTTAAATAGAGCAAGTTGCCTTGGAAGTCATGGTTTGTCTGCTCCTTTAGCACAAATAACTCTCCAAACAGAAAAACATGCCCAATTTTTTCTTATTAGTAACCTGACCCTCTCCAGGACAGTGACAGAATAAATTATTGGTGTAGCTCACAGAATTTTTCAATTCTTTTACAAAGTATAATAACTAACCAAATTAAATTCTGATGCCAGAAGCAAGGTTGTTCACTTTTACTGGACCTTAGATATTGAGAAATGGATAAAACTATGATGTTCACATCTAGCGGTGGAGGGAACCCAGTAGCATGTGAGCAGTAATGATTCCTTGGGGGAGGTACAAGGGAAAGGTTTCCACTAG